TATTATCGGTTAGTAAAGCAGAACAAAACACAACATAGTTATTGAAAACATTGACCGATAAGCGGCAGCATGCAATTAATGAACAACAGCATGATAAAACAAAGCGGCACATAGAAATAAGTTATAGAAAATGGATTGCGGAAAATACGGCTGGGGAAGGGAGCGGCAACGAGGAGGCAGTGGAACACTTGGTGGTGCAGAGCAGTGGCCCACCAACACTGCAAGTCGCGAGAGGAGAGAAGAGCGGCTCCGGATACCATCTTAGTAGGTCCGTCAACTCCACCAAGGTCCACTTAGCATCGTGCCGAACGTGGTGCGTGTGTAGAAGCGGGGGGGGGGGAGAAAGAAGTGGTTGTCAATTATGCCAGCTGCTATTCCTTTCGGGTCAAGCCTGCCAATAATGTTCCCGTCCATACACCTTATATCACCACTCGGGTCCAAGGTCCCACTGTTGCTTAACCCGCACTATAGACTCGGTCACCCTTCACTTCTGACCTCTCTTATCGGATCTTATGCAACGATATCGCCATTCCTGATCAACCAATAATCCAATGCCAGCCTCCATCAGCTTTCCCTGATTCAAACGTTTGCTCTGCTCTGCCACTGGGACAGGTGTTATGAAATTTCGTGAGCAGCCACAACCAACACACACAGACACAACTTGGGCTGATTAATATGCGTAGGCATTTTCCCGCACTCCTGTCACCCCCAGTGTAATTGTGGGAATTCCTCCAGACGCCGAAATTTATCCTCGAAAAGTCTCCTAATTTTCCTGTCAAAATTTATTGCCTGTGGAGGGGGTGTATGATACATGATGAAAAAAGGAAGAACCACGAAAGTTAGCAGTCACTCTCAGAAAGGGAAATGCGACGCCTCCCCCGTCTCCCCAGCGACCAAATGCCAGCCGTCGGTGGGGAATTCCCGGGAATCCCCAATACGGTGCCCTGGTTTGACGTGACAGCAGCTGTTTTTCACCACTTGGTGAAGCAGGCAAACGGCAACAACTGGTGGAGAACGTACTGGCGCTGTGCCAAACCCAGCCCCCTTGGGGCGCCCTAGCGCCCACAGTTAAAGCCACAGCACTTATATGATGCATAAGTTATGACGTTTCTGTGGTGAAAGGTGCCTCTGAAGCAGCGTCACTAGCCAGTTGCTTACCTGTTCCTGCCTCTTGAATTTCACAATTACACCATCAAAATTCATCGGGCTCTCTTCCGCAGCCAATGGCACGTAAGGTGCTGATTTTTTGGAGCTCTGAAATGCAGTTCTCAGACTCGAGACTTGCGGTCTACCATAAGGTTCTGGTTCCAAAAAAACCTGTTCGATGAAGTTGCAGAGCATTATAATTGCAGTTGATTTCTCCTGGACAACCATGTACCAGAAATCAGCACAGGTTTTTGGTAGTGGAGCCTAAATCATCCATTTCGCTCTCTAGTCTCATCGGTACATCAAACGAGGGTAGTCAGCTTGTCTATTGATTGATTTCCAATTTACTCAACAATACGCTCGCAGTAAAGACACGGTGTTGAGCTTCATTCAGCTCATAGACGTAGCTTTCATGATCTAATGGTCATTTTACAGAATCGCAGATTGTACGTATACATATCCCTGGGACGAGTGGGCGTGGCGCTCGAAATTACTCATGAGCTATTTCGATTTGAGACAACTGTGATTATGTTCTGCGTTAGCACAGAGACGTGATTACAACTGTCCTAGAAGCAAAATATCTCATGAAAAAGCTTAGCCGCTGCCACGTTCAATTCAAATACGCGGCCCCGCCTACCGCATCTCAGGGATGTTGAGTCTATTTCCCCAAGGCTGTTGGAAAACACCGGCCGCGACTACGTGGCAAATGGATTCCTTCAACGTATTTGGGACCGCAGTTCAAAGTGTGTCCTTTCCGTTCCTTGCAGCGAAAATCGCCCGGTGAGTACGACCTCTTCATCATCTATCAGAACGTCTTTACGACCCTCCTCATCACCTATCAGAGCCCAAGAACGTGAAAAAAATGTTTTGCAGAAACTCTGTCTACAGAGGCCATTGAGGATTCTAATCTCGAGTCTTCTGATTCTTGACGCCGCTTGGACCCTTATGGCTGTGGATTCGCCCCAATAGGCTAGTTTCCATCAAAGTACGGCCAATGTATTTCATTGTGCCAGTGTTCCGTGTTGAATGAATCAGAGCAAAAAACAACCCAAAATGGGAGGATTAAAGAAAAAGCGCGGATATTCCGTCCCCCCCCTCCTCCCCCCCAGTCATATTAATCCTACTGTGGATTTCTTACAACGGCTTAAGGGAAGTTTCTTGTTCCGTGTATGAACGCTCTTACAAAACCAATAGGATTCGTTTTGATAAAGCGCTCTGCCGGTAATGACGTCCCCTAGGGGTTTGCAGATGAAACTAATCGTAAGTATGAACACCATCCTGCCATTTTGAGGACTGTCCTTTTGACGCAGCTTCGATAAAAGAGGAGTTCGTGGAAAATGCCCTGTTTACGTGGTGCATATGAACCGTCTTGGGCTGACTGGAGTGGACACATAGTTGGCATGAATATACGAGACAGGACCGATATTTAGGACGACGCGTTGAAAGTCAAGACATTCCGAACATCCTGTAACAGCCTGGGCATCCAACTCTTGTAAAGACCACATTGGTGCCGATCACTCATAAGTTTGGGGGTACGTGCTGTGACTATACAGCCCTCCCTCCAGCCGACGCCCAATGCTGTAGTGGTTGTAAGTTACTCAGGTTTTCCCCCCGTCCCAACATGCGGAAGGCGCGGGGCACACAAGAAGAACAGGTCACCGCCGGAAAACCCGCTAATACTCCTCGTCCTCCGCCCAGCTACCTTTTGGGCGCAGACTCCCGTTTCATGCGTAACAGGCTCGTTCCGCGCAGTGGTTGTCGTGCTCAGCACTCTCCACTTCGCCCAAGTCTTGTACATGCGCTTTGAATCACAACGTAAAACGCAACTTCTCTGATGGCGGAATAACATCTAAAGGCTTGCTCACGCTGCAAAGTCTCGAAAAGAAGGTGGGTGGAGAAAGTCCGACCATAGAAGGTGATAAGATGACAAAGGCTCTAGACATATAGAACACTAATTAAATATAAAAACAACAAATGAAAAAATTGAGGAAATGCAAGGTATATTAAAATCGGTAAAAATTCTGCTCAAACTAACGAGTGGAGTGCCTTCAGGCCTGTTTATATTTTCATGTTTCGTGGACATGCGGGGGCTTTGCCCGAGGGATATTTTTTAGAAGCACCACAGTTGCTTCTGAGTTCTAGCGCTCGTCATTCATATCTCGGTTCTTATTTTGAGCACCTCCACCCCCCCCCTAAGTTGACCCGCATGCAGGAACTTCGCGTTTTACTTGTATTCTTAGCGCAATTACAGGACTTGGCAAAGTGCCACGAGCGCCGCGCGTGACACGCGCCGCGTGGACAGCTGTTAGCATAAACGGGAATCTGCGCCGCAAAAACGGATCGGGCTGAGCATGGAGGGGTTAGCGTGTTTCATGGTCCTGTATCTCCATTCCTGCGCATGTTAGGACGGGGCGAAATCCACTACATTCGAGAGCTGGGGCCGATAGTCATTAACCGACCCTAACAATGTGTTGTTGTACCATGTGTCTTTAAGGGTATTTAATTTCATGTAAGTCTAACCTTATACCGATTCCTCCCTTGTGGAATCTGTGCGACAAATTCTGTCATAACATTGAAGTCGTTAGTTCTTCTCATCATTTTGAATTCGGTGACCAAGCCCGCAACTCCAGTTTTGAGAGTGTGCTCAATGAAAGGTTTCACCTAAATAGTGACAAGATCTTTTGAAGGTGTAGGGCCATTCAAACGAAAATATGCGAACATGGCGAAGAGCCAATAGCTCGGCCGAGAAACTTAAAAAAAAAGCGCACGCTCAGGAAAGTGCAGTGTACTGACTAGCGTGATCAAATTCTACTATTTCCAGGATACCTCTAGAAGACACTCCAACTGTTGGAGTTAGTCGAGTATGAGCTCTCTCGCCATCGCTACTCAAAGGCACCCTCTGCAACTAGATCTGAAATTGCCCATCCTCCGCGAGCAAGCAGCTTGGCCGTGGGTAGTGCTTGCATCCCTTTCGCAGCGCAAAATCGCGGGGTATGTGACAAGAGAATCGTAATTCACCGCGCTGTGGGCGTCGCGTGCGACGTCGCGCCCGCAAATGACGATGGTTCCAGGTAGTAGATGGCGACAACAGGCAATTCAGAACCGAAAATAGTCATGAATGTCTACGATGACGGGGTCTACATGAAGTCCGGTGCTCCAATCGACAGGTTAACACGAGTTAAAAACGCCGCGCCCATCGCCGCGCGCGGCGGAGCGACGATTCTCTTGCCCGTCTCCCAAAATCGCCTAAGGAGAGCACCCATGTCATCATTTCTCTCATTGGACCAACCCACCGGCCCTGTCCACCGCTCTACCCAAGCATGATAACAGAAGTTCCGCCAAAGAACGTAGGCAGGTATATTGTTGTCAAAGGAAATCAGCTGGTACTAATTGCGGCGACCATGTCGACCGCACACTATTGTCCGGTGATCTCGTCCGTTCACAAACTTCGCTCCTCTTCTGCTCGTATGAGTGCGCTCGCTAGGGAACTTTACTTGGTGGCACTGAGAACTTTTTTTCTGCTTTCTTTACCGCCACTGACTTGCTTGGCGTCCCCAGTTGAGCCCCACTATCCGCGATATCTGATCGAGGACGTTGCCAATCTCTTTATGGGCTTTGCGGCGAGAAGCATTCAGTAAAGTCTCGGCTGAGGACGTGCTGCAGATGGGCCTACTAATGATTCCAAAAAGAAACTGGAACCAGGCGTCTATCCATGGAAACAGGGACTCCCCAAGGAGAACCACCGTCAAGCTCAACATCAAAAAGACGAAGCATGCACATACAGGGGGACCAAAAAAGACACTTCGACCGAGTCACATATCAGCAAAGTTTTCGCAGCCCAGACAGAGGACGTGGATACGAGTACCAGGGCGGAAGATACCCAAGATGTTCCTCGATAAGCAGGAGCTGGCTCTCGCCCATCACCTTCATGTACACCAAAATATGAAGTCATCTCCAATCGCAGCCTGACTGGAGAAGGCCTATGGAATTCACGTCACCTCCAAACAGCTGCGAAACTTCTTGTATGGAGTCACCATGGACAGCTGGAGACCAGCACTCTTGATCTGGAAGACCTCCAACATCGAGCAGCTCCGACAACGTCGCTACGGTCTAGGATATCATCTTCACCGCAGTCGCCAAGGCGCGGTTGACCTGGAGGTTTCTGGAATGGCACAAAACCGATATTTTCTTCGTGGACGCCGGACCTGAAAGTGAACGCTGAAGGTCACATCGACCAACTCGAGAAGATATCCTGCCTTCATGTCGTCGCCTGTACCGTCTTGGAAAATTCATACTGCTACAGGACTGGGTTCCAGCTTCATGGAATCTATGGGCGTTGGAAAAACTCTCGCCTACATCGAACGAAAGCATATGGGTACCTGAAGGAAGACGGAAGTATCCAAGTGGTCACGCTGGATTTACCTCAGACGGAATATCCAAGTGTTTCACCTGGATTACCTCGACTACCGGGTTTGGGCGGAGCTCAACAAGGTGGCTGAGAAATCAACGACCTCGCTGGACTCAGGCACCGAATCACGGTCGCGTGGCAGAATCACTCTATGGCGCTCGTCCAGAAGGCTGTGGCGAAGTTTCGTGATCGTGTGTAATGTGTTGTGAGTATGGTGGTGAAAATGTCCAATCAGAATTCAATTGAAGGGTCGTGTGTTAGATTGCCTTGAAATTCGAGAAACTGCCGCTTTTTGCCCTCCCCCCCCTGTAGTTTCAGCTTTAGGGACGACCTGTATGTTGTCATGTCAGTAAACCGAGAAAGGGCCTGTTAGGGTAGTGGGATAGCGCGCCACAGAAGCCTGTTCCACTAGTTGCTGATCCGGCTCAAGAAGGCAACATTGATGTGAAAAACGCCGTGAGTGCTGGCACGCGCTAATTCCATCGCCCTAACACACGAAGAATTATACGTTGTTATCTCGTTTGCTAGGATAACACTGTACTTCTTCATTTCACTTCTGAGACGCAAAACATTTATCGGGTCGCATGGGATAGGCCATTTGAAGAGCTTCAACGTTAAAGAGTGCCAGTCGTTAGTAATCACCTGAGCGGTGCCTGGCTGTGCGCACTTCAACTAATTGACAGTGAGTGAGGGGTTTTGGCTGAGTGCATTTTATTTTGAGACAATTTTATTCTTTGTCGCCAAACCAGAACAAGATGACAGTTGTGGGTGAGTGAAATATCCGATGAGTAACATCGCCATGTTTCAAAAACGCATGCCTACCCTCTCGGGGATAAAGGTGTATATGGGCATCAAAGGGTTGGAAAGTTCGATATCGCTGGTCCTTAAATTGGATCTGAATTCAAAGGTTTCGTAAGCAGATGGCATTACACTGCGGCATGACTGCAGCGATACACCGCACGCGACGACGCAACAAAATACTATTGTTCTTGTCCGTCTTCACAGTCGATCGCTCTTTATTGGTTACAAGGTTATCGATTTTTCGCGCGTGAGATAAATATCCATTGTTCGCTTGAACTCGCTATAGAACGGTATGTCATGCACCATGAGTTTGTCTCCATTTGCAGCAGGGAGTTATGAAGCGAAACGAAGGTGCAACACGGAGTTATGACTTCAGAACCGGTGGTTCAGGATATGACCAGCCTGCCCTCCTGAGCGCGATATAGATGAGTGAAAATTGCTCGGATGCATACGGATAAGGAGCGGTTAGGTTCCAGTGAATGTGGGTAACAGTTTTGCGGGTGCGTTTCACGCGTGTTGTAGGACTGCGACTCTGGGTACGTTATCAAGGTGCCACAGAAGGTCTGACGTGAGGCTATACAACGCGATTGGCACTTCTGGAACTGTTGTCAAGGTTGACCCGTTTGTCCTGAAACAAGACGCGAACGCTAACCTTTTCCGCGCGCTGTTCCAGTAGCGCGCAGCATTTTGACGCGCAGAACAGAGCGTCCAAGGTCTTCAAGCACGGCTTTTTGACGGTGGGTTCGAGTCTCTTGGGAGACGGGCATGAAAGCACCGGAATTTGCGCCCCGCCCGCCGCGGCGTGATGGCGTGGCATTTTCTTAACTCGTGTCAACCTTGTTCGATCGGAGCACCGAACTTCGTGTACATAGACCCCGTCATCGTAAACTTTCATGACCATTTTCGGCTCTGAATTGCCTGTTGTCGCCATCTACTACCGGGAATCATCGTCAGTTGCGGCGCGACGCCGCACACGACGCCCACCAGCGCAGTGAATTACGATTTTCTTCTCTCATACCCAAGTAACCTCGACTCATTGGCTGGAGAAGAAGTGCTCTTCCTCCCAGGTTGGCGAAGGGTTTTTGCGCTTTCCTGAACTGCTGGACAAGCTGGGAGACGGGCAAGAGAATCGTAATTTGCCGCTCCGCCGCGCGCGGCGATGGGCGCGGCGTTTTCTTAACTCGTGTTAACCTGTCGATTGGAGCACCGGACTTCATGTAGACCCCGTCATCGTAGACCTTCATGACCATTTTCGGCTCTGAATTGCCTGTTGTCGCCATCTGTCACCGGGAATCGTCGTCAGTTGCGGGCGCGACGTCGCACGCGACGCCTACGATTCTCTTGTCACATACCCGGACAAGCTACCCCTTCGTTCTCTTCTTCAGATAGCTCAGGTGGCCCTCTCTTCACAACGTTCAGCTGATCCCAGTGGAGAACACTCGAACATATTAACTCGCCTGAGCTCGTCGCTGGGCTCTTGTCAATTTGGGCATGTCTTGCTGCATTACCGAGATGTTGACTGATCTTCCGCCTGGATCATCGTCTCTGAAACAGACTTTCCAGAAAACTTTTGAAAGTAATGTTTCAGTTAGAGAACTTTACTTGGTATCTTCTCCACTTGTAGTGTTCCGTTTCTTATGTCTGCGCTCTGTTCTACGACGCTTTCGCATTTTTCCAGAGTTGTCTTCTCTTGTACGAGTTGCCGACAAAGCCATAGCTGCTCGGAGGACGTCTGACGTACCACTGAGGCTAACCGCATAAAGTCCATCGACGGTGCTATCACTACTGTTTATGGGATAAGACCGTTCTCACCATTCTCACGTTCCTCGAGCACATATACTTAGGATAAGGCATTGATTTTACGCTCTTCTGATCGATATCCATTTCGGAAGCATGCTTTGGCGGTGCGGTCTGAGCGGTTTAACCCATGCGAGAAATGGATCCTCATGCAATAGAAGGTAACTTCCTCCATCAATCTCTCTTACATTTGGAGCATCGTCAAACGAAATCCGCCGAATTTCAGGCAGAATTGGTAGAATCAGGCTAAAGCGAATTTTATGCACGACGGCCACCAGAAGAACCGTGCTGGGAGCGCATCGCAGAAGGCTGCTTCCAGGGGTGTAGCTCCTGCTGGAAGTGTAGTCCTTATGAATTTGACCGTTACGCGGCACACTAAAAAAATATATACCTAAGCTCACCTGTCCTGTCACAGGTGATTTTAGTCGATAAATTTCAACAATTGGCAGGTCATCGTTGGGCGAAACCCAAATTTTGATTTTGTTGCTGGAGAGGAGTGGAGGTCGTATATGGCCTAGAGAGAAGTGTTCGATTGCTGATTTTTCTCATAGCACGTGCGCTCCAAACGAGGTCTGCAGGCTGCAGAGGCAGC